GTAAAACGATGATCAAGTTTTTGGAAGAATTTTAACTGTTCAAATTGCTGAAGGGAATATATGTATATTGATACATTATAATATATAGTTAATTATAAATTAAAACTATATATTATGAGAGAAATTATTTGAATGAGATTCAAATAAAAATTAATATGAATAARATTCATATTAAAACTATAGGTTAAAAATAATGTGCATAAGATGTACATTACGACTATAGGTTGTACGAGAGAGACGGATTTGAATAAGATTCTAATATATGAGTTTAATTAAATATGTGATATTTAATTAAATTTTAAATAATTAATCGTTAATTATTTATTTAATTAATATTAGATTTAATTAATTAATTTATTAATAATTATTATTATATTAATTATTAATTAAAAACTCCCCTGCAATTTGCAGGGGAGTGGGAAGTTGTGACACGTGGATTTACCCCACGTCACATTTGCTTAAACTATGCAGAATAGTTCTGTACATTTGTTCTTCCGTGGAAAAAGCAAGGATACTCTTTCAGTCGGTCACGGTCTCAATTCTCCCTCTCATTCCAAACAAAACGCTCCCACAAGCGTGTTCTCGAGACCCAAGAGGATAGCACGGAAGATCGTTTGGTGGTGTTCGTTGGTTAATCCATTGAAGAAAAGTTCTTCAAAGGTAAGGGAAAATTTTTTCCCTTGTATTTTCACATCTTTGCAATTTTGATTTTCTTTCTCAAAATTGATGAACAAAAATCCGCTTCCGCTCCGGGATTCACATCCCATCAGAACTTACAATACTTGCTCTTGTCTTTCTTGGTAGAGTCGCTTCGGGAGCGCTCCAGCCATTGTAGCAGGTTGTTGACGGGGTTCCATCGATTCGAGCCAGTATCTAGTGCACTAGGATGTGCATGGGAGTATATTTCCCGTAACTTTGTGACCGTTCCGCCTTAGTGTCTAAACGAGTTTGACCTGGCTCTTTTCTTGAGGCAGCCCGGTTTGCTGGCTTTCCTTTGTCCCTCCGAGCAGGGTAGCTCGGCTTCTTGCTTAGAGATTGGGCCTCGAGCAGCTCTTTTCCCGCTATGTGCAGATTGATACGGGTCGTGAGTTCGGCCATGGATTTGGAGGGATACTCGCCTAGCGAGTGGACGAGATTCCTTTCTTTTATCCCCTGGGAGAACGCCGAGAGGTCCACGCTCTTGTTACAGTTCAGTACCTAAAGTCGTTCGTTGGTGAAGCGGGCGACATACGCCTTTAGGTCTTTGCCCGGCTTTTGCTTCACAGACGAGATGGGCTTCCATGCGCCTGTTGATGCAAAAGTAATGAAACTGGTCGACAAACTTAATAGCCATGTTTTGGGAGCTTCTGATCGAGTGTTGGAGGAAGTTCTAGAACCATTGCTGAGCGCGTCCGATAAGGGTTCCAGAGAAGCCTCGGCAGTGCTCGGTGTTGATGTATTCCACCTAACGCATGGTGTCATGATACAACGTGGCATGGTCTACAGGGTCAACTGACCTGTCGTACTTGTCGATGCAAGGTCCTTTGAATCCCTTTGGCAACTCCACGGCCAGGATACTGACCATGAACAACTATTGTGCGATCTTCGATGGTTCGTACTGCGTGGTGGGTCTAGCTCCTTCGGCTCCAAGCTCGGCTCTCACTCGGTTGAAGATCTCCTCCTTTACCCAGTCTAGCGCTTCTCATCCAATCCCGACTTGGGATTCGCTTGACCTACATGACGTCTTGGTGCTATTATGAAAGTCTACGTTAGAGCCGGTCGCTCCAGCTTGAAGCCACTTTTGTTGAGCTTATTTTGAAGGTCCTTCATCTCTCCAGGGAGCCCAAGAGACGCCAGGGGGTCCTCGTTTCCGAGCCCCCCTTGGGTTGGGGCCTGAGGCTCCCCGTCAATTGCTCCACCTTCGATCGTGCTCCCGTTGGAGAGGGAGAAGGTTCCGTGGGTTCAGTCACTCAAGACCACTTCAATCAGTCTTCCCATTTGGGAGGCCATCTAGGCGTTAGTTGCTTGCATCTCACTGCGGAACCCTGAACTTTTGCAACGGAATGTCCTACCTTACACCTACCTAGATGGCCAATCGGGCGGAGGGCGTTGACAGTGTCCCAAGTTCCCCTTGCCTTTTGTGGGGTGATAACTCTAAAAAAGAGAGTTATTCTAGTGTTTATTTGGGTGTACAAAGAAATGTCTAAGTGTGTCGGGTTTAGCTTTTAAACATCATAAAAAATCGTATAAACCAAACTTCGAGCTAAAGTCCCAGGTCTTGAATGCTTTGGCTAAAAATTGTGCTAAACTCTCCTATTTTTTGGCTTAAATGCACATGTCTCGAAAAAAGAAGACAAAGTATGAGGAGATTGTTAAGCCTAGAGAAGAGTAGATGAAATATGTTCAAGGCAAAGTAGATGAGAGTTGTAGCGAAGCAACGCTAAGGCATGGATTTACAACGCAATAAATAGCTTGGACACAGGAATTTACCATGCCCGTACAATCTTCAACTGGATTCCCTAAAAACGAGACCTGATATAAAAGGGACATTTAACCCTAGCCGACACACACAGATCCCAATAGAGACACATTTTAGAGTGTTGGAAAAGACAAGGAAGAATAATCTCTCACCATTTCCGTGGAAGAGCTGACGACCGAGGAGGATATTCGGCTGCCGCTTCAAGCTGTCATCTCCATTCTCGGTCTTCTTCTTCTTTCTTGAAATGGGTTGTATCTTCTATTTACCCATTGTATTTTCTTCTTCCTCCATGAGTTAAACCCCATTTTTGGGGAGATTTACATGATGTAACTAATGAACAATCGAAAATCTAGCTGATTTTATTCATTATTAAATAGAGCTGTGTTTATTTCTTAATCATTACTGAACATTGTTGACCACTCTGTTTTGTATGCTAGCGTCTGTATGACCCGGGAGGGCTTACGGGTAGCTGACTTGCTCTATTTGAGATTAGCTACTTTTTTCTAGTGGGTTCGTGGATACTCAGGAATGAGGTCCCCTAATAATGCTTAGAACTTGTGTATATTGCTTGGGTATTGGACAACGGTAGTTGTGGGTATCCATGTTTGGGTGTCTCGAAAGGGAACCATGTCGAGTTGAGCATTAATGAATGATTTTGTGCTAGAGCGTGGGTTGCGATTTAGTAAAAGCATGTTATGTCTCCCCTGCTTTTCCGTATCTGTTAACTCCCATTTTCGCTATTTTGTGCTGTATCCTTTCTGGTTGTCAACATTTCTAAGTGTGTTTGCTGTTGGAATAATTTATTGTTTGTTTATAATATTTCTTTTACTTTCAACACAATCATCGATATTTTTTTGTTTTTACATTTTTGGTATCTGCGAGCATAGTTTAAAATATCATCTAAAGTCTGACACGACCCGTCCCAAAACACCTACTAGTCCTAGAACAAGTCGCGCCGACCACAGACCCCGACTAACTACGAAGTCAATGGTTAACTTCTATTTATCTTTGACCTGAACTTTGACTAACAAACTCTGAATGGATGCACGATAAAAACAGTAATCTTAATAGAACAACCATTCTTACATCCATTCTATACATTATGTTTTATCAAAAGGGTGATAACAGTTTTACAACAACTACATGTACGTACAAAGTGATATGCAAATTCTCAACTACTCTGGGTGGCAAAAGTTAAACTAAATTCTCCTTGAAACTCAAATACCCAAGTACTCAGGTACAGTCTGGGGGGAAAAACAAAACATAAACAGTGAGCTGTGAAGCTAAGTGAGTGGTAGGTTAATAAGAAAATATTCTCGTAAAACTTCTTTCATAAACAACTGAAATTCAGTTCTTAAAACAAGCTTCATAAAACCGTTCTAACAAATATTCTCGTTTAAATCTCATAAAACTTGAGCAACTAAAAACTCAATAAATTTTCTAAACATAACTTGTAACAACATATACGTTCTAAAAACACCTTCTAAATACATATCTAATTCCTTTTTTCAAACCTAAAATAGGTTAACAAAACTCAACACCACATATGTATCCACATTCTATTCTGGTCTACTGGTGCAGAGTAATCTCAATACGCACAACAAAATAATTCTATTTCTGGTCCACTGGCATAGAGTAATCTCAATATACACAGTAGAATAATTCTCTCAACGCGCGAAGTCGGTCCCAAAGACCTTCTATTTCTAGGTATACTATAGAAACACATTCATATAGCATACGGGTAATCACCTGGACACAACAATATAGTGGTTTGAAAACTTATTTCTGCATAAAATTCTCAATCTCATAAACAGTTCTAAAATTCTTATTTCTTATTTCTAAGAACTTTTTTTAACTTTCTCAAACCACTTCTAAAATATTTCTTTCTAACTTTCTCAAACCTTTCTTTCCAAAATCATTTTACAAAATTCTATTTCTCAAACGATTTATGAAATCTCTCGATCTTAATAACATTTCATAAAAGTTTCTCAAAGTCTTTATGAAATCTTTCTTTCTGAAAACTTTGTACAATCTACTAAAAATATAAAACATTTCTAATTCTTATCAAATACAATTATTCCCAAAACATTTTTAAAATCATTCTTTCTAACATCATTTCAATAAACTTCAAACATTTCTTTGGAATAATAAAGTATTTATAAATTCTCATATTCAATCCAGCTTCTTTCATTCTAAATCTAACATTTCTTAAACTTCACACATTTTTCTAAATCACAAAACATCTCTCCAAATTCTAAGCATCTCTAAAATCTCAAACAACCAGAGTTATTTTCTAAATTCTCAGAAACATTCATAAATTCTCAAAATATTTCTAAATTCTCAGCAAACACAATTTCTTAGTAGAAATGCTAAAACATACATAATATATAATTTCTTGAAATTCTATCATAATATATTTCTAAAAACATTTCTAAAATAAACCATCACAAATTTCAATAATAATATCCAAAACGTTTAATAAAATAACCACTCACAAATTCCAATAATAATATCCAAAATATTTAGTAAAGTAACTACTCACAAATCCTTTAAATCGGATCGTACGCCGTTCCAAATTCCAGTTAACCTGAAATATCAACCCAATACCAAATTATTTCACTTAATTATAACATAAACTAGTTCCAATTAAATAACAGTAACTTCAAAATAAATCAATTATCCAATAAACTAGTTCCAATTAAATAACAGTAACTTCAAAATAAATCAATTATCCAAATTCCTGATTATCTCTCTCCATTTAAAACCATCACTTCTTCTCCTTCATAGTAACTTTCAAGTGTAGGTCCCACAAGTTACCAATTAATTTCTCTTCTTTTCATCTTCTCACGTGAAATACCTTTTTTTTTTATCAAATTTCTTTTCTTTTTCTTATTTAATTCTAATCCACAATAATTCTTTTCTCTCTCCTCAACAACTTATCTTCTTCTTCCTTCTCCATTAAAACCCACGAAACTTCAAAATTTCTTCCTTCCTCCTCTCCGTTCTCTTTTTCTTTTCTCAACCAGCTGCCCCTTTTTATTTTAGATTTCTGGTTACAATTAATTCTATTTTATAACTCGTAGGCTTAACATTCCTTTTTCACTTTTTTTTTTTTTTTTTGCAACAACTCAACAAATTCTCACTTCTCCCTCAAATTTCTTTCATCAATGATACGCATAAATACATTTACCTTTACTGTATAAATGATTGCCAAGGCAAGAAATTCAAATTTTCTTCTAAGCAATTTCTTGAACATAACCATAACAACCCACAAATTCACAATTTCAAAGGATTTCTTTAAGAAGAACACTCATAAAAACGTTCCCACCTCCAATTTTTCCTCTACATTTCCACAAATTTCTTAATCACAAACAAATATTACTTACCAAGTTTGAAACCCCATAACTTAGCTATGAAACACGTTGAATTCCCTCCTCTCTTCAAGCTTCAGTTTCTTCCTCTTCTCCTCTGTTTTGAAAGCCCTCTTCCATTTCTTTTCCTTCATTTTCTTTTCTTTTCGCTTCTTTTCTTTCCTTATTTCTTTTCTTTCCATTTCTTTCTTTTCTTTTCTTTTCTTTCACTACTTAAAACATGTCACACACACTAAAAAAACACACGTGTCCCACTAAATTATTTTTCCTTTTTTTTTAATAAAAGCTGAAAGACCAAACTGACCTTTGCACTTTTAACTTAAAAAAATTTCAATTCTCTTTTTTGCTTTTTTTACACCAAACAGTCTTTACAAAGTCCCTGTGGATTCGACGCTCCTCGTAGACGGTGTTCTCGAAGGATGACTCCTTGTCGGAGGCCGTCCCGATGATATCTTATTACGGAGAACTAGTTTTCGCTTATGGCTTGAAAACATCGTCCCCACAGACGACACCAACTGTTGACGGTGAATTATGGTCGTAGGCCACGTGTCCCTCGGACGAGCAGTCCGGCCAGAAAACAAGAGAACCTGAAACAAAAAGAACTTGACAGAGGCGGTGTCCTGCCTAAGACACTCCGACGATCAAGTTAGTAATCGAAATGGAAATATGAAAAAGACACGAAATATGTGAGTGACAGATTTTTCACCTTAGGACGAAGGTCCTTCCTTTTATAGCTTTGGACGGCCGACCAGGAAAGACGATGGTTAGAGGTGGCAGGGTCGCGCCTCGCTATACGGGGAGCATCGTGGAGCATGCTTCTGAGAGCTGCAGGGTAGCACCTTCTCCTGCAGCCCAAGCTTGTCGCCTGCAGCTGCGATACGTGCCCGCCGTACCGGTGGTGTGCGCCTCCTGCTACGGTTACATACAGTGTCCAACTGTCCGTGGTTCATCATTTTTTCATGAGTGGACATGTGTCCTACTCAACACTACCAGCTTGCAGGGAACAACCGTATATGGTCTCGCGCTTTAGAGGCAGACACGCGTCCCACCTGGGTTTTTCCCCAACAACAATTACGACTGATTTTTTATAAAGTGATTGATTGGGATCATTTTATTGTAATTTTATTTGTAGAACCACTTATAGATGCAAAACCAATCAAACAATCATGTGATTATTAATATCAGTTATAAGAAAGTGTAAACGAACACACAAATTTTTTAATTAAAAACTATTTAATAGAAATTGTGTTATGAGAAAATACTTTAAAAATGTGATTAAATTAGAAAGTATGTCAAACTCATCTCGCTGCACTATTTTTTTGGCATGTGGATTTAGGATTGTAATAACCATTAAATTTGTCTATACGCATACTTAAAATCTCATAAATTTGTGTTAAGGACAACGGTACCCCAAATACCCCACGTATCTCCACAATGGTATGATATTGTCCGCTTTGGGCATAACCCTCACGACTTTGCTTTTGGTTTCACCCAAAAGGCCTCACACCAATTGAGATAATTGTCCTATCTTATATACCTATGATCTTTCCCTTCCCCAGCCAACGTAGAACTTTGTTTGCAATCACCTTACAAACCCAACAATTCTCCCCTCGAACAAAGTACCACCCGAGCCTCCCCTCATGTAGTCACTCATCTGTCTACTCTCGAAATCCAGAAACGAGAGCTTGCTCTTATCCAAGGCTCAAGGATGCAACACAACCTTGATAGAGCACACCCATGGATGACACCATGATCACACCTTCCGAGGCTCACAACTTCTTTGTTCGACACCTGAGGATTCACCGACATAGCTAGGTTTAGACCATGACTCTGATACCACTTGTTAAGGACAATGGTACCCCAAGTACCCCACGTATCTCCACAATGGTATGATATTGTCCGCTTTGGGCATAACCGTCACGACTTTACTTTTGGTTTCACCCAAAAAGCCTCACACCAATGGAGATAATTGTCCTCTCTTATATACCCATGATCTTTCCCTTCCCTAGGGACTTTGTTTGCAATCACCTTACGAACCCAACAATTTGACTATATAGTTGTTTTCTTTGCATCTCATTTCGGAGATCCTACATAAATTAAATGATCATCCACTAGCTTTGATAAAAACTTGAGAGTTTTGGTTATAGACCACTCGATGTTAAATTACGTTTGTTAGTTGATAGATGTGTAACTAATATTTCACGTGGGAGGATACAAATGCATTTCTTGATTCTTTCTATGAGTCAAGCAGTTGCGCAAGGCAAGTTGGGAACTCAACAAGGCATTCAAACTAGGATTTGGCTTCGAGAAGATGTTCGTCGTGGATTTTTCATGAAAAAGGGGTAAGAAAATATTACTGGTATTAAATTTGCTCCCTTATTATGATCTTGTAATTAATGTCGTTATTTTTATGATTTTGTTAGGGACTACATGAGATTCAAGGAATAGTTGACGTAGGGGAGGAAGAGGAGTAAACTACACTTGCGTGGTAGTTGTTAAGGATCCCACATTGAAAAGAGAGGTTTATAATACAGGTTTATAATGAGTTTATAATAGACATGGGCTACTCCTCTCATTGCCAATTGGTTTTGAGATGAAACCTCATGAATATTAATATAGTATCAGAGCCCAAACACGCTCAAATGAGCAATCAGTCAAAAAATGGGATCCGGACAAGATCGGTGAGAGAAAAGAGTCACGATCTTGAGAGGTATGTTAAGGATCACACATTGAAAAGAGAGATGACCTAACATAGATTTATAATAGACATGAGTTGTTTTGAGATAGAATCCCATATGAATATTAATAGTAGTAATGTTCAACCGATTTGGAAAGGCTGCATATTATGTTTTTGTATATAGCTTATATATTTTCATTGCAAAGTGGTTAGTTATTCTAACAAAATTTAGCTATATTGCAACAGAAATTTGTTAACTTGAAAAGGAGGTTGATGTTAGTGATTCGAAATTCTTATTTGAGACCCCTAATTTTTTCGGATGTTCCAAATCTTTGAAGATTGATTTTACAAAATTGTGCAAGATTGTATATGATTCACCCTGTCATCAATAGAGTCTCCATCATCTTGTTTTGTTGCATCTGGAGGGTTGTATCAGCCTTACAAGATTTTCATATATCAGCTGCAAAAGTCTCCAAAATTTAACTCTGTCAAACTCAGCCCTTGCGCGATTCCCAAAAGTGGAAGAACATATGGAATATTATTTGACATAATTCTATGTTGGAAAGGTCAAAAGGGTTTTACAAAACAAAATTGTTTATTGTGGATGATTTTGAAATTGAAAGAGGGTTTGTAATGGGAGGATTCTTATTGGGCTTACAAAATATATATGGGGTGAGCCTGAGTAGTCCCACACGCGCTCCGCCGCTTGTCCGGTAGGCAGGCAAGTTCAGGTTCGGTAACTCGCGCTTACGCGAAAAATAAAAAATAGTTTTGTTAAAAATTACTTTTTATTTTGGTATTTAGAAACAGTTTTTGTAAAAACGTTTTTATTAATTTCAAAATGTTTAATAATTATAAAAAAGTTTCTTTATTAATTATTAAGAAAAAAATTGTTTTATCTCTAAATCCTAAACCCCTTGTGGTGTGTTTTGGAGAACACACGAAAAATTCATTTCTTCACTTCTCCTCTCTACTTTTCGAAAGGTTTTCTTCTAAGTAGTTTCCAATCCGTTTTCTGAGGAGTGCGTCGTCGGCAATTTGTTCTCGTGATTCTTGTAAGGTTTCTCTTTCATTCCTATAAGTATTATTAGTGTGTTATAATAGTTAGAGCTAGGGGACATTTTTGTTGGGACCTCTAAAGAGCGAATATCTGTGGGGAGATATATTTGAGAGTGCTTGTATGCAATCTTATTATAGTGGAACCTACATCTAAGCGGAAGACTGGACTAGCCCATAAACTGTTTGGGTGAACCAGTATAAATCTGTATGTCGTTTTTATTATTTTCCCTATATTTCTCTGTATTTTGTGATTGACTTAGAAACTGGATAGAACTGTGGAAGATGAAATTTTTTGGAATGCATTAATTTCCCAACAAGTGGTATCAGAGCGAAGGTTGCAGTATCATAGGATCCAATCAGAAGTCACATCACTACTTCGAGGGAGTGTTGAGATTTTATGGGAGAATTTTGGGTTTCAGAAGATGTAAGTGACAAATCTTCTTACATACAAGAAGATACATAAGACCTTGAAAGAACGACTGACCACTGGGATAACAGATAAAGATTGGACAAAGATGGATGGGCAAGTAGTAACAATCATCAAACTGTGTTTATCAATGAATGTGGCGAGTCTCATGTCGAGAATGAAGGCTTTGACTGACAGGTATGAAAAACCTTATGCCAATAGCAAGGTGTATCTCCTTGCGAGATACTTCAACATTCTGATGGTGGAGGGTACTTCAGTGAACTCCGACATAAATGAGGTCACTGATCTGATGAGCAAGCTAGAGCCAATACAGATCACTTTTTCTGATGAGGTGAAAGCTGTAAAACTGTTGTCCTCTTTGCCTGACAGTTGGGAGACAATGAAGACGACGGTGTGAACACGTGAGGATAAGAGTTTGAAATTTTTAGATATATGTGATGTTGCAATTGCTGAGGAGCTTCGAAGAAAAGGGCGTGGGAAAAATTCGGCATCCACTTCCAATAGGGAGAACAACCTAGAATCAACATTGGTAGCTCATGTTGGGTGTGTTGCCCTAAACTCGTAGTTTGTATATTGTAAAAACAAATGTCTATTTAATAAAGTTTTATTCAATAAATTTGTTGTTGAATCATAGCTTTGCATTGTCCAAAATCCAACAAACTAAACATTCGAGGTTATTTATGATGTAATCGGGACAGTATATATACTGGGTATATAGTTGATATACGGGGTATATATTTGATACACCCCTAATATATGAATGGATAATATCCCGTGAATAACCTAAAGAGTCTATAGTATATGGATAAGGCTGGGTACCTTATCCTGGCAACACTATGGATACGACCCACTCTGTAAAGGTTACAGACGACTCGATCCAGGTCATTCGAGTGGAGACATGCAAGTGGGGGTATCCTATACAATGAGTTTGTATAAGACCGGACCGCGAAATAGACAATCTTTAGATGTAACACCGTTAACTAATAGATTGC